GGTCTGCCTTGCCAGCCCGCTCAGAGATGTGTATAAGAGACAGAACCAATGTTATCATCTTATGTCCCCCTCGAAACCCTACAAGTTTTGTCTGAAAAATTTTTCTCTCCCGGGCTTGATTTTCAAGATATTCGACTGGATGGATTAAAATGGTCCACCCTTATATATTTAATGGTATATATTTAATGATAAAAGTTACGTGTAGAAAATAAAATGCTGTAAAGCAGCATGAGGAGAAAGCGTTACGGAAAAAAAAAATTCTATTCAAAATTTTTCAAATTTATCCGGAAGTGTATAAGATAAGAGATACATAAGTTAGAGCACGTTAGTAAAGTAAGCAATTAATAGATTTTATCGACTATAGTGAGGACATGTAATTCGTTAAAAAAAGATATACAAGAGTTTAATTAGTAAGTTGCAATTATTTTTGAAAGCAAGATAATTAAAAGTCCCATTGAAGTAGGTTAAATTAATTTGTAAATTCATTGTTCTTTAAAAAAGAAAAAAGATTTGACTTATTTTTGATCTAAACAGATCTAAGTAGAAGCATTGTTTTTGATGGCAATGCTCTCAGGGTAATGCTTCTTGTGCGTAATTTAATTATTCTTAATGTGTACAATTTTAAAAGTGTATTCTTATTTTATTAACTTATTCATAATATATGTATATATTTTTATATATTTTATACTTTATGTCACGTTGTTATGTTATATAGGATATCACAATATATTACAAGTAAATAAGAAAGTCACATCATTAGAGAAATCAATCGCACACATGATTTTAATCTTAAAGTTAAAACGGTTTCATTTTTGGAAACGGTTGATTTTAGACTTAACGTTAAAGTTAAGACACCGTTGAAGTTTCTCTACACTCAAGAGTCAGAGTCTATCACATGAATAATAAAGTCATTTAAGCAAAATTAAGAAAAAAAACCAAGTGCATCTAGTGTGAGAAAATCGTTTTTATTTATATAAATTAAGAACAATGAGTTACAATAGAAAAGTCTAATTCAATTGGATTGTGTTACGTAGGTGGCATAAGTATAAAGGGGAGGGAGGGAGAGGGAATACAGCAATGATCGGATAGTCTGGATCGGAAGTCCGAGATGATGAACACTTATAATGAGACACGCTGGCATCACCAGACCGTACAATTCAATTTATGATAAATAAAGTTTTTATATATAAAATATTTCAATAACTTTAATAAATAAATATTTTAAAACACAGCATAAGAATGCGGGAATCGTACTAAAAAATCTCACTCATTAAATCAATTAAAAAAACGTCTCAACAAAATGTCTCGATGTCAAACGATAAAATATGTAAAATATGCCGTTTAAAAAAACGATTTCGTATACGCATCTGGCAATGCGATGCAGCGATGTTGCGTGTTAAAGCTATTATGCTACATTTGAGGAGAAATTAGCGTTATACCTTGCGCGTTTTCTTTGTTCTTTTCTTACACTTCCTCCTCGACGTGGATGATGCGACTTTGACATACGTCACTATCTCTTCCTCTTCGCCGTCATCGTTGTACTCTGTGATTCGAACTTGCCGTAGCAGATTACCGCCGCTCTTCTTCGCGCTCTTCGCGAGCTTCTTCCGCTTCCTCTTCGGCGTTTTGGTCTTGGGCTTTGTGTTCGAACGCGTGGAAGAAGCGTTACCTTCTAGGCTAGTGTTTGGGGAACGACTCCGGCTATTGTCGCCGATCGAATCGAGGCCGGACGAGGTAGACGGCTGATTCGGATCGATAAACTGCTCGATATCGTCTGTCGGACCGTGATTGCGCACTCGTGGCCTGCGAGCGCGATTGGCAGGTACGTGTGTACGATCATTGAAAGGAGGAAGTATATTACGGAATATGTTTAAGTTCAAGTTCCTACTTAAATCACGGAGGAACCGACTAGGATTTCTCCCTGTCTGCACAAGTGTTGGCACGAAACTCGACAAATACTGCAAAGATAAATAAAAAAAAAAAGAAGGAATTAACAATCTCTTACGTTCACCACGCATGACTTTTATAAAAGATAATTTTTCTATTTGTCGGAAAATATTTCATATAAACTCAATTAATTTAAACAATAATTATAATTGATTCAATTAATTTACACGGAAATGTTACCTTTAATTAAATATTTATCTTGCTATTAGGCAATTTAAATTTTGTTCTTATATCTTGTAGTTTTTTAAGTTCTTGCAATTTTTGAAATTAATTTATGTATTTCTAACTTAAGCATTTCTAAAAAAAAAAAACCTTAAGTACGTATATTGCGGAAATATAAGTTGACCAAATATATGTTCAAATTTAATATTATCTAATAATATTAAAACGTAATATGAAAGAGATAACACATGACAAATATAAAAAAATCAATATTTAGCGTAAAAAAAATAATCTTAATCTACAATTAATATATATTAGAAGAATTTTTTATATGCCAGAATTGTCAGTTAAATTGTAATCTACAAATAATCCATTGGTACAATGTAACTTATCTTTAGATATATTTAAATATGAATAAGAGTTGCTATATACCGATCTAGTTGAGTTGTTTCGGGTACACCCCGGACAGTACCATTCTTCAATGGGAACCGTAGTCATCGGAGGTGTTAAACATTCCATATGATAGCCGCGATCGCAATTGTCGCAAAGTAACATTCGATCTTCCCTGTCACTTTCATGGCATATCTCGCAATATGTTGGATCGTCCGCTTGATTTTCAATACGCGGCACAGCTTCTACTGGTAAACGATTTATGATCTACGACAAGCAAAGGATATGCATATTAAAATTGCGATATAAATTTTTTCAATTTATTCACCTTATATATTCTATGCCAAAAATAAAGTAAAAGTGCTTTTGACATAAGCTTGAGCTATTTGTACGTGATATTTTCGAATCAACATAGTGTAGTATTAAAAAAAAATATAAGAAAAACTATAACAATGCAAAAACAAAAAAACGAAGATCTTTCTTACACTGTTGTATGTTTTTTTTTATATAATTTTTATATAATACTCTTTATACTTTCTTCCACCTTATAATGGCAAAATGATTTACCTCGCCGTCAAAATGATTTCTAACAACGATTGTAGTGAAGGGTATGCGATCCACAGGGCAAGTGTTAATGTTCTTACTCCACTCCAGTAAACATTCTAAACAGAAGCAATGATCGCATTCGGATGGGTTGCCGACTTGCTGCTTTCTAAATGGTAGCAGACATATAGGACACTTTTCCAATTGATCGTCGCTGTCGGAGTTGGCGTTGGCGTTGGTCGGCGAGGAGGAGCCAGGCTTATCGGCATTTTCACCCTTGGTTTTCGACAAGACTTTTCGCTTGGCTTTATATTTGCCGGTGTCCCCGCTCAGCTCGTCGGAACTCGACCAATCACTTTGCCATTCGGATGTGCTACTGCTATCTGTAATACGCATGACACTGCATGTTTTAGCAAGTACAAAAGCGTGCCAATGTTTTAAGACGATCGATAAGTATGCTAACCATTCTGAGTGGATCCGCTCCCTCCTCCGCTACTATTGTAACTGGATTCATCCTCACTAATAACTCTCTGTGCAACAAAATGATAATATTAATGTAGACACGTCGCTGAGTTTAGCTAAATATTAAAAAAAAAATCAATAAAATAGTTGTATAACATTTACATGGTTTTGTCGTCTAATCACAGGCTTAGGTACATCACTATCGTCGCTGCTACTTTCTCCTTCGCTAACGACTCTCTGAAACAACAACACAAATGCAATTGCAATTTAAAATTCCAATGTGTTCACTAAGTTACGAGATAAGGTCATGTAAATAAAGTCTTGCAAAGTCATTAATTTATGCATACATTTACACATACATAATTTTTATTATATATATTTCTTCATTATGTGCATAATAAGGGGCTAGACAAATAAGAGTTAGTAGATTCCGCAAGTACACAGTTAGATGAAAAAAATTTAATTTTATCTAAAAAAAAATAATTCATCTAAAAAAATTGCAATAATTAAGAACATTTCTATATATACGTACAAGTATCTTCTTCTTCCTTCGAGTTTGTACAATAACAGATTCGTCGCTGCTATCACTATCGCTAATGACAATCTTCTTGCGCTTGTGAGTGTGATGATGTATCGAACAAGTACTATCGCTGTCACTTGACATCTTGACTACTGCTAAAATTCATACCCACTGAATCCTTCTCGTAGAATGTCCTTCTGCAACCAAGAATTCGTGACGTTATTCCAAGTTTTCGTCCAGTGTATGCGCGCTGCGCGTATCATACTTTCTCGTCGGAGTAACAAACAAATCGTTTCGATCGTCTCGATTATCAACACCGAGGGTATATGTGTCTCTCTCGGTGACCCTGATTCAACTCCTTAAAGCAGCGGGGATCCAACGACGAGCGCACGAGCCGTTGTGGATCCTCTGGTTTACGGTTTCGCGGCCCCGAGGAGATCCCGCAAATCCTGGATACGAAATCGAGACTATCGAGAGAGAGAGAGAGAGAGAGAGGGATGGGGAAATTACTTAATGCCGCTGCGCGGCGCGCTCTCGTGTGTCCCGCGACCGTTTGTTTCCGGGGCCTCAGATCGCGACGGTCGCGTCGTCCCCCCGCCGCGCCGATGGCGATCGACATCGGGGAAGCAAAGCGTCGTCGTCGACGTCGACGTCGTCGTTGTCGGGCTCGATCCGTCGAGCTCGCTCAACGTGTGCGAGCGGACGACGGGCGCGGGCGTCGCGGATTCCGCGCCCGCCCTCGGCGTCGTCGACGCGTCAACGACGACGACGGGGGGTTCGTGTGGGCGCCGCGCGGCGAAGATCAGGCCGACGCTCGTCGCGGTCGCACGTCCCCTCCCCCCCCCTCCCCCCTCACCCCGGATGACGTTCAGGTAGCGGTCGCGAGGACGAGACGAGGGGCGGCCGCCAGGCGGACGCACGCGAAGAAACAGTGGCCGTACCCGATTGATGTGCCCTGACCCGTAGTTGACGCTTCACCGTCTCGTATCGCCGTCCTGCTCCGCGCTCTCTCGCTTCTTCTTCTTCCTCCTCGCTTGCTTGCTCGCTCGCTCGCTCGCTCGCTCCTTCTCTCACTCTGCCCGTGTGTATGTGCGCGCCTCTCTCGCGTTCCTCTCACTCCCTCGGGTAGAGTCGCTCCCCGACCCCGACCCGACGACTCCGACTCCTGCCGCGAACGCGCCGCACGCCGGTGGACCGCGGCCGCGCGACGCCGATCCCACGGCCCTACGTACGGCTCCCCGAAGCCGCTCGCGCGCCGGAATCCGCACACCGCGGTACTCTCGCCCCGTGCACAGGTACGCCGTCCGTGAAGGTACGCGGTTCTATCGCGAGACAGCGGACATATTGGAATCGCGGACGCCGTGCGCTCCAGTGCCGTGCCGTGGTGGTGTGTATTGGATGACGTCGCGACGTCACTTCCGGCCCCGCGCCACCGCGGAACGGACGGACGGTCGGTCGGGGGCGCGACGACGCGGCCGCGCGGCGCCGAGGGGGACCGCCCGCGTTGACGCGCCGCTCGCGTGCAGCGCGAAGAATCGAGATTTTGCGCGATCGGACGGATCGGTCGATCGGATGGTGTCGACCAGGCGATGCCGCGGCCGACCGTCGTCGGGAAACAGTGCGGCAACCGTCGCGCGTAGTACCCGACCGACCGGAAGTGAGCGCGCGAGTCAGTGTAATTTGAACGTGCGATTTTCGAAGTCTCGCTGTATGTACGATCTCGACGGACGGGCGATTCGCAACTCAATAACGTCCGTTCGCGCGCGAATCCGCTTCTCTCTTTCTGAGTTTCTCTCCGTCTACATACCATAAATTCCAAATATCCCAAAGCGAGACGCGAAGACGAACGCGAATGATATATCACGAACGAGCATCCAATTGTAATCTCGCTCGAAAGTGATTTAAAGCTCTATCTACAATGAAAATAGTAAATCGTAAGCCGTAAAGCCGTAATCACACTAGCGGTTGAGATTGAGATTAAATTGGGATTTGACCAATTAAAGCAAAATTTACTAAACTTGATATTAGTTATTTTTCTTCTGATTGGTCAAATTTTAATCTAATCTCAACCTCAATCGCTAGTGTGATTACGGCTTAAAGCCCGTATCAGACTAAAAGATTGAGATTGAGATTGAATTGGAATTTAATCAATTAGAAGAAAGAAAACTAATCTCAAATTTAGTGAACTTTTAATTGGTCAAATTCCATTCCAATCTCAATCTCAATCTTTAGTCTGATACGGGCTTAAGGGCGAATTCACTCCTTGACAGAAAAGCGGAATACAGAAAAGCAGAAGCCAATCAGAACTCGCGTTGGTAGTCAATAGTTTTTGCTTTCTGTTTTTCTTGCTACTAGTGCGAGTTCTGATTGGCTTCTGCTTTTCTGTTTTCCGCTTTTCTGTCAAGGTGTGAATTCGCCCTTAGTTTTGCGAACAGGTCTTTAGGAGGCGGCCGAATCTCCCTTGTTGGCCGCAGAGAGGGCACCACCGTTCCTCCCCCTCGTTGCTCCTTTTCGCTTTCCTTCCTCGCAGACGTCGTTGCTGTTAGAGAGAATTCCTCAAAATGGGTCGTATGCACTCGCACGGGTAACGTAATGACGTTTATCGCATCTCCAACGTGATCTCTCCGATTTTCCGATTCGCCGCGACGCGCTCGCGACTTTCGCGGCACCTCGGCGTCGAGACGTTCTGACACGGCGTGCCCGTCCGGCGACCATGTGTTGTGTGGCTCCCGTTTTTTTCCCTTCTTTCTCGTTCGGACGATCAATTACTTTTCGATCTATTGGATTTGTACAGTTTGCAATTGTCGAGTGTGATCCAACGGTTCTGCCTCGACACGCCGTGGATCTTGGCTCAGATCGGACACGCCGCCTTCTCCGAGCACATAACCTAACCACGTGTGCGCGTGGTGCGATCGCGATGGCAGGACATGCTGTATTATGGCATGAATCCGAGGAGAATACTTTTCATTCATGCACGCGCATCTAATCAGGCCAATCGACGCGCAATGTTAACTAGCAGGATTTTAAAACGTGCTTTATTCTGTAAATTAATTAAATATGCATAATTAATGTTAGAAGGCTCGATAATTTGAAACAATAATTTATTACTTGTAAAGGGCTGCGGCTCACATAGCCCTTTATAAGTATTAAATTGTTTTAAATTATTGAGCCTTTTAATATTAATTATGTATATTTAATTAATTTGCAGACTAAAGCACATTTTAAAATTAAGCCTTCTAGTATTAATTATGTATATTTAATTAATTTACAGAATAAAGGACGTTTTAAAATCTTGATAAGACAGTTAACATTGCGCATTGATGGCTTGATTAGATGCACGTGCATGAATTTAATATTTATAAAGGGCTGCAGGGCTCATAGTCCTTTATAAGTATTAAATTGTTTTAAATTATTGAGCCTTCTAATATTAATTATATATATTTAATTAATTTACAAAATAAAGCACGTTTTAAAATCTTGATAAGACAGTTAACATTGCGCATCGATGGCGTGATTAGATGCGCGTGCATGAATTTAATACTTATAAAGGGCTATAAGTCGTTGTTCTTTATAAGTATTAAATTATTGTTTTAAGTATATATATATTTAATTATAATAATTTTACAGTTTGCATTTAACAGGTGTATTAATTTTTCAGAAAGGGTATATCCCAGTCAGCGCTCCCTTACCGACGAAGTGTACCAACTTGGTTGAAGCTGACGCCGGAGGATTGCAAAGAACTTATCTACAAGCTAGCAAAGAAAGGACACACACCGTCTCAAATTGGTAATTTTAATAACGCCTTTATGTTTTTGCTTAAAAAAAAAATTTGACATTCTTGCCGCGCGCAGCGGCAAGACAACCAGTGAAACCAAGACGAATGGAAAAGAATTTAATAAAGGCCTTGTTAATTTGGAAGAACTAATCTATCTGAAAGCAAACTATTCAGGGAATCTTAGAGTCTACTTTAATTTGATTCCCTTAACAAAACATGTTTGCAAGATTATAATCCCAGTGATGTTTGATGTGAATACGATCACTTGTCATTTCACGATAGGTTGTCACTGACACTCTTGTAGAATATCAAGTTCGAGAGTCATTAAGATAGCGAACAAAAAAAAAACGATGTGCATAATACGACTTATTATTTTCGCAGGTGTCATACTTCGTGACTCGCATGGGGTTGCGCAGGTGCGATTCCGTACGGGAAACAAGATTCTGCGCATCGTAAAGAGCATGGGCCTGGCCCCCGATCTACCGGAGGATCTGTACTACCTGATCAAAAAGGCCGTCGCCGTGCGCAAGCACCTGGAGCGCAATCGCAAGGACAAGGACAGCAAGTTCCGCTTGATTCTCGTTGAGTCGAGAATTCACAGGTTGGCACGATACTATAAGGCAAAGGGATCGCTGCCGCCGAATTGGAAATACGAAAGTTCAACGGCTAGCGCTCTCGTAGCCTAATTTCGTTCGCTGTATTTACGTCTTATTATGCCTTAATAAATTCCGGAGATACCAATTAATTTTTTTTTATATTATACATACGTACGGTCTCTCTGCCTCTGATGATAAGTATAATACTTCTTCACAGTTAAATTAAACTGGATAGAGAGAGAGAGAGAGAGAGAGAAATCCTCTATCTTTTCGCGATAATTAATGAGAAGTTAATTAAATTTTGCGAGTGATCGAAAGTAATTCAGCAATTTCATTAACATACCTTGCGAATCGGAAAAAAAATTAATAGAAATTTCGCCAAGCCTCTGAATTCCTCGGATTCTTCGGGAGTTGGCTTTACGTCCTATTGAATTAGTATTATACTTTCTTCTATTTCTGTACGCATAATCAACTTTTCAAATTCTCTTCCATCCATCCCGATTCCATTTCGGTTGTCTCCGCCGCTAGGCGCGGCGGGAACGTCGAATTTTTAATCAATATTCATTCCGACGCCACCGGACATTCCACTTGGCGAAGTAGCAAAAGTAGGCGCATGTCCTTAATCGACGAGAGACGCGAAGAGCGCGGGGTACATACATACATACGTTGGTCCCCCCTTGCATTCCAGAGAATCCCCGGGGACACGCGGGGAGAATCGTTTGACAAAGAGAGCGAGAGTGATTCCTCGAGGCCAATCGCCTCGATAACTCGAGACTCCCTTCGCGACCCCGCGGAATCTCCAGCGAGATTCCGGAATCGGTGTTTGCCTTACGTATTGCCGCCGCTAATGTATAAGCGCGCGGTACCAAAAATTTGTAATGCAGACCGACGACGCGTATACGTGCACATGCTGGCATGCAGACGTACATACGTGACGCGAGGTGGTGGAACGAGATAGAGCGCGGCTGGTGAGGGGCTCCTTCCCCCCCCCCCCCGGGCGTGAGGGGGGAAAGAGAGAAAAGGCGGGGGAGCGGAGGAAACGGATCGCGAGTTCGCGGGGACCAGGCATTATATCTATATATTTCGCGTTGATACCCTCCGTGCCTCTCGGCGGAATATCGAGAGTTCACCGTCCGAGGTGTCACGTGTGCGAGTTGACAGATAATAATAGATCTCTCGTTCGAATATACATAATTTTTCCCCTTCTCCCCCCCCCCCAAAAAAATATATATTTCTTGAAACTTGTTTTAAGATAAAATAAATTTATGCGAATTTTATTCTTTCGCGCTCCTCTAATCCTTCCTACAATCCATGCGCGCGCGCGCGCATACCCTTTTCGCCTTTCTCATCGCTAAACAGCCAAGCCGCCTGCGGCCCTGCCGGGACGGGGGCGGCGCGACGGCGGGAGGAAGAGGGAGAGACGGAGAGATACGAGAGGCGAGGAGTCGAGACAGAAGACATCTCGAGGGACAGTTCAGTGGCCCTCCTCCTCCGCCTCCCTCCCCCCCCTCCCTTCGCGCCGCGCCTTGTAGCAAAGGCCACCAGCTCCTTGTCCTATTTTTTGACGTCATCGGCGGTGAAGGTAGAATCGGCGAGCCCGAAGGGGGTGGTGGGCCGCGCATGCGCCGCACGGGCTGTTCGCCAATATGGTGAATGTCCTGGGTGCGACTCTCACTCGCGGCGGTGCCGAGGCGCGCAAGGCCTGTTGCTGCCGCGGCGGCGGTCGAGGTCCACCAGGCACCAGGCGGCGGAGCAGTGAACGGCGATACGCCGTGGTCGAAGCGAGGCTGCACTCTCTAGCTCTCGGACGCGCGCGCGGGCACGGCCGAATAAAGGCGCGCGCGCGCGCCTTACTTTAACGAGGCACCCCGCGCGTTTTCCCCTTTCTCGCCCGCTCCCTCTCCTCCCTCCCACCCTCCTCTCCCTTCTTCGCACGTTCATTTCGCGCGCTCGCTCGCTCGCTCGCTCGCTCGTGCGACCCGCGAGGAGAGTAGTCGGAGTCGGCAGCCGCGGCCGTCGCGAGGAGAGCTCGGTTCACGTCACGCGCCGCGCCGCGAGAATCGTCTCCGCGGAGTCTCCCGAGGAATTCCTTTCTTGCGCCCCGCTTCCTTTCCCTACACTGCCGATTTACGAGTTGAAGTGCCCGCCCGCGCCGGCCGCGTGTATAACCGCGGGTATTATTTTAAATATTCGAGCGCAACCGTCAGGGTCGCCGACGCGGATCGCGGAAAAGAGACGTGGAGCGTCGCGCCGCGCGAGCCAAGCGCGACTTTCGCCGATTATGGATAGGAGAGAGCGCGGTGACGAGCAGCAGCAGCAGCAGCAGCAGCAACGCGAGTGCCTGTCGCGAACCAGTCTGTGAACCATATTGTACAGAGGCGGTGGAGAACGAGCGTGGAGGCGGTCGCGGGGCGACGTTGCTCTCGCTCTTGCAGGCGCTGTCACTCGAGAGGTACGTAGAGGAAGAGAAACCCCCGCGGGAGATCGCGCGCGTACGATCCTCGGGGAAACGCGCGCGCGACATATGGAGAACGGACGCGGCGATCGAGTGGTCTCGCTCACCGGAGGACTCCGCGCTGCGGCGCGGGGGTGGAACGGCGCTACCAGCGGGATCTGCGGGGTTCCCCGCGGGGATTTCCCGGGGATTTAAAAAAAAAAAAATATATATATATAATAAATGGGAATATACATAATTACATTATGCGGACGCGTGAAGCGCGCACGTGCGCACAATTTTGAACATATGCATGCGGATGTAGCGTGTGAGATTCGCGGTGGTAAAAAAAAGCCGTTCCGCACGGAATCGTCATCGTCGTCATCGTCCTCATCATCATCATCATCATCATCATCATCACCACCACCATCATCATCATCATCATCATCATCATCATCGCCGTTGAATTGAGCGAGCGCGACATTTGCTTACGTGCGATACATTCGCTCGCTGGAAGGCGCGAGGAAGGAGAACGATCGGGCGAGCGAGCGACGTGAAAGTGAGTTCTGCTCGCACGCCGCGTCGCCCGAACGCGACGATACAATTCGCGTAGAAGTCAACTGTGGACGAGTCGCGCGGTTCGCATATATAAGTCGTGATTCCACGGCGACGATGCGCGTCCCTCTTTCTTTCTTTCTTTCTTTCTTTCTATCCGCGCGCATCGCATCGCATCGGACGTACCAGCTGGACGTCAGGCTGTTGCGAGAGCGCGCGGGAGGTCCTACTACGTATCTCGCAATACATTCGTTACGAGCGTTGTCGAGCCCGGGAAAGTCGGCCTCGCGCGGACTTTTCGCGAACGCGAAACCCTGGGAATTTCTGCTTAAGTGTATCTTGCGTCGTATATCGTATCGTGTATATATATATATCGCAGAGTGTGGCGTTTCGTGGACCGATGCCGATATGTCGTAACGTCCCTCTCCCCCTCGCGCCCACAATATGCTCTCTCGCTCTCCTTTTCTTCTTTGGCAATACCGAGCTCCGCGCGCCGCGAGGCAAAACGCGCTCGAGGACGATCTCCCCCGACGAAGGTGAATTTTTTTTTTTCAAGTCACCGCATCGCACGCCGAACCGCGATCAAACGGCGTTCTCGCTCTTCCCCCCCCTTCTGCCTCCCGTCTCTCCCTCCGCCAAATTAACAATAGACTCGTTGGAAACGCATCTTTTCTACAGATGACGAAATGTGATAGCTTGTTTAGCTCATATACGATGCGTGTCCGTAAACACGTAATTAAAGTCAATTGGTCGATGCGCAACTGATTCCCCGATCTCTATACCTGTATTCTCCGACCATTTTCTCGTCCAAAAACAGGAATCGGAATTAGTCGGGGCCGAGGAATGCGTTTTTTTATTTTTTATTAATGATTCGGCATCGGCGAGGCGAATCTACGCGAAAGATCCGGTCCCCACGGGGAATCCCGCGGCGGGCTGCTCCGCGAAAACGGGTATGTCGGCACAGAGGAACGAAACCGGTATACATAATTTCGCTGAGTTCACACGCCTGAGTTTTGGACACCAATAATTATATACATATACATATATATATATATATATATATATCTTGCGCTATCGCGATTCTCGCGAGAGACCCATCCAAGTATAGGTATTCGCGCGCATGTATCATGCGGAAATCGAGAATCGGGGTAGGAAATATAGCAAACTCATCGAGAATTGTTCGCGGGAAATCAATCTTGTCGACGTCATCATGTCCCGAGATTCGCGCGGTTGCGCCGCGCGAGCCGATGATTGCGAGATTGACTTTCGCGCAAGCGGCAAGCGCATATAATCGTGAAAGCCGCAAGCCGCGCGGCTCGCAAAAGCTGCAGCGCTCGCTCCGCTCGCTCGCTCGCTCGCGCCCGCTTCCGCGCGGCGCGGCAAGCAGCGCGCGGATTCCTCGCTTTCTATACAATCGAACGTATACGGCCGAGCGAAACCGCGCCGCCGAGAAGTGCAACGCCTGCAGCGTACGTTCTGTGTATATACACAAAACGGCGCTGGAAAACGGCGTTCCACGCCCGACGTGTTCCGCGGCCCGCCGCGCGGCCGGACGTTTATCCCGTCCGCAGTCCGCATACGGTCGGACCATATCCTGCACACAATTTCTTCTCTCGACCGTTCGAGTCTCCGCGGATGGCTGTATATAGGCCAAGGAAAGAGCGCGGTGAGCGCGGCCGGCCGCGGCGCGGGTTCGACGTCGATCCGGTGCGCGGACCGCTATACTCGTTTTCATCGGCCGACGTATGTGATATACTCTGTGTCGGGTTCGGTTTCGGCGTAAATATGCGCATTAGAAGGTTGATTTAGTAGCGGTTTCGACCGCTGCGGGGAACGGGAGAGATTCTGGAAATCTTGGCTAATGACGCGCGTCTTTTCTCTGCCTCGGGCTATATACCAACTCGCGCGTATACCGCAGGTGTATTTCCGGTCGAAAATTCCGCGACCCAATCTGCCTCTGTTAAAAACAGAGGCTGTAGTCTTATAATTTCTTCTCTCAACATCATTTATATAGAAATACGGAGATACGCTCTATATATATCTCATCTTTTTAAAAATATGTATCAAAGGAGTGTGATTTCACAAAAGGCTAACTATATAGGTACGTCTCTCGTAGAAATTTAATTGTCAGTCAGTGATGAAGGAAAAGTCGGAAGAAAT